CGGACATGGAATCTCTATAGGAGTCCTGTCCTCAGGGACTTGTCAGGGTCCAGATTCGACAGGTTCATATGTTCCAGGGTAGGGGTGTGTGAATTAGAGATGTTAGGCAGAAAGAACAGAGTCACAAAAGAAATAGACAGAGACGCAGGATAGAGTCAGGAGGGCAACCCAGGCAACCCAGTGAACACTGAATCTGCTCACATTTATTTCTCAAAGGCTTTACATACCGCCATCCAAGAGGAGAGGAGGACAAAAGACTTCTTTGCCAAGATTCAATGAACAAAGCAATCATCTTCTCAACACCCAAAGCATCAAGTAATCACATCCTAGGTCAAAACATCCTGTTAGTGGCCACACCTTGGGTCAAACCTCCTGTCAATAACCTCGAAGGAGCAAGAATAGGCCTGAACTCTCTGACCTTTGGTCAAGGTGGGACGAATTTACACCCGTGGGCTCCGACAGGGACTGAGGAAACATGCATGATACCCACACATATTCCCTGCTGGTCATGGCCCAGGGCCAGGTGCTTCGGGCTAATAATTCACAATACTACAGGAACAAAGCTGGAACTCCCCAAGCCTGGTTACCTATGAACTCAGTCTTGACTGAGGGCCAAGCGGAGCTCGTCAGTGTCTAGAGAAGGCATATGGGTTTTGTCTGCTGTGCCAACAATGATTAGCCACATTTGCTTCTGGATTTCAGCTGTCTTTAGAAGGGACAAGGGTGGGCTGGTGAGATGGCACCATGGATGAAGTGCAGGCCTAGAGATGTGAGTTCGACCCCAGGCACCCATGTAAAAGCCGGCTATGAGGGGCCTGCCTGTGATAATGGCACTCCTGTGGTGAGGTGGGAGGCAGAAACAAGAGCCAGCTGGAAGTTAGAATGTGCAGAGTAACAGCTGAAAAGAGAGAGAGCCTGCCTGAAAAACACAGTAGAAACAGAGACTGATTCATGTGGCCTTCACGTGAGGCACACTGCGGCAAACTTCTCGACCAGCGAGAAAGAACAACCACCACAAGAGGATTCTTCTCAGATCACGCTTTATTGGAGTGCCTCTTGGTTGAGGGAGAGCAGGAAGCGAGGGGCCCTGAGAGCACTAAGGCGGCTGCTTATATAGGGAGTAGGCACACGGGTTGCTCTGTGATTGGTTGCCACCATTAGCTGACACCAGACTGTGTCAGGATAGGCCCAAGGACTCTAAACCACCGCGCATGCATGCAGGAAACAGGAGACACGCAGCTCCCAAAGGCATAGCCATATATGGAGTTGTTTATTTCCAACGGGACAGGATGTCAGCGCCATCTTGTAATGACGATTCTGTCCGGCTCCCTGCAGCACACACACACACACACACACACACACACACACACACAGTGATGTGAGCACCCATAGGCTCATAGATTTGGGTGCTTGATCATTAGGGAGAGATGCTACTTGACAGGAGTTAGGATGCGTGGACTTGCTAGCATAGGTGTGGCCTTGTTGGAGGAAGTGTGTCACAGGGGGTGGGCTCTGAGGTTTCAAATGCTCAAGTCAGGCCCAGTATCTTCTCTCTTGCTGCTGCCTGTCTATCTGGATGTAGAACTCTTAACTACCTCTCCAGCACCATGTCTGCCTGCAAGTCACCATGATGATAATGGACTAAACCTCTGAAACTGTAAGCCAGCCCCAATTAAATGTTTTTCCTTATAAGAGTTGCTGTGGTCGGGCTGGAGAGATGGCTCAGTGGTTAAGAGCAGCAGCTGTTCTTCCAGTGGTCGTGAGTTCAATTCCCAGCAACCACGTGGTGGCAAACAGACATCTACAGTCGGATCTAATGACCTCTCCTGGCATGCAGGTGTACATGCAGATAAAACATTCATATACATAAAATAAATAAATATTTTTTTAACAAAAGAGTTGCTGTGGTCATGGCATCTCTTCACAGCAATAGAACCCTGACTCAGACACCCCCAAATAAAATAAAAAAAAATCTTAAGAAGAAAATAACAAGGGGACAGGATGTGAAATTGATTAGTAATGTCTGCCGTGAGAGCAAGATCAGGGGCGTCTGCACCGGGTATGGTTTCTCCTCATTTACCTCTATGTGCTTTGGACCTTGGCTTCAAAGGGGCTCTTGTAGTACTGTGCACTGTGCGTTGGTCAAACCACATTCAAATCACAGTAGCACAGACAAAACATTCCTTAATCTGCTATGGGCTGGGGAATGGGAAAGGAGCCAGGACATGGAAATGTCCCCGTAGAAATTAATTCTACCTTGCCCTGTCTGCAGAGTACTTGCTTGGCACACGTGAAGTCCTGGACCTGAGCCCCAGCATAGACTGCATAAGCCAGGTCTGAGGGGGAACACCTGTAACCCCAGCCTTTGCGAGATAGATGCAGGAGCAGAAGTCCAAGGTCATCCTCAGCGGTACAGAGTTCAAGGCCAGTATGGACTATTTTTTGATACCCTGTAAATAAAACAAAACCACCCACCCAACCAACAAGGAAAAAGAAAACTAAACTAAAAGTAAGCTCAAGCGGTCATCAGCCTTCTTCAGGTTGGACTCTAAGCCACCTATTGAATAGAAATGTCTATCTGGGGAAGATCCCAGTTCTTCTTGTTGTATCTCCTAACAAGGGGCTGACCCCAGCCCAGACAGGCTAAACCACAGTCACCCGGCCTGAGCACTGTTATCAAAAGTATTTAGGAATAGGTGAGGTCGAATTTCCTTTTCTATTCCTTTTCTTCCTCTTCCTCCTCCTGCTCCTCCCTCTTCTTTTTCATCATCATTTTGTTATTGTTGCTATAATTTTGTTATTGTTGCTATACTTTGTTTCTGTGTGCATGGGTGTTCAGCCTGCATGTCTGTGCCTTAAGCAACCAGTGCCAAGAAGGCAAGAAGCAAGCCTCCGAGCCTCTGGAACTGGAGTTACAAGTGTTTGTTAGGTGCCACGCTGGGAACCGAACCTGGGTCCTCTGCAAGAGCCACAGTGCTCAAGTGTTTGTTAGGTGCCATGCTGGGAACCGAACCTGGGTCCTCTGCAAGAGCCATAGTGCTCTTAACCGTTGAGCCATCTCTCTGGTACACCCCCTGAGTTGTTGTTTGTTTGAGACAGTCTCATATTGCCCAGGGTAGCCTTGAACTCCTGATCCTCTTGCTTCACTGAACGCTGAGGTTACAGATGCACCTCTATGCTCAGCATCACCAAATTCTTTTTCTTTAAAACAATTTTATTAAATTTGTATTTGTGTATATGTGTGTGCACAGATGTGGGTAGCCATTACTGCACTGTGGCCATTGAACAGATGAAAACGTTAAGTTCAAGAAGGCCAAGAACTTGAAGAAAATCCGGTCTCATTAATGAGAAAGATCAGTTTCAGAGCTCAGGCAAACTCATCTTTAACTTGCACTGAGGGACTGTACTCAGGAGCTCCAAGCTTCTGTAGCTTCCTGCTTGAATTTCTAGATCTCTGCAAGGGGAGTCCCTTGGTCTTCTTCCAGGAGGGCTTCCTTCCAGGGCCCCCTCCCAGAGAAGCACACCCATTCTGCAGCCCTCAGCCTTTTCCAGAGCTCTTTCCACGTCCATCTTACTAAGCAGAGGATATGCTGCCCTCTGAGTGACTGCGTGTTTGTTACCTTAGGCTTTGTCTGCCCTGGCTGGCACGGGATGGGTCTCCACGAATGTGGCGTTTGTTGGGAGCTGGATGTATTACGGAGTTAGGCCAAGAGCAAAAACAAACCTGTTGGCAGCCTCGGCTGGGAGCATGCACCCCAGGGCCAACATGCTTGCTTCTCCTCTGGCTGGGGACTTATGACCATTCTGCCAGAACGCCCAGTCTCCTTGGCCTTGACTCTCCTGTCTCCTCTCTAAGCCAGCCAGAAGGAACGGGGGTGGAATCCACCCCCAATGGGGTCTGTGCACAGGAAGCCAGAAGCCTTCTCACCGCCTCCATCTATATAGTCAACAAAAGTTCATAGGTCAGTGATGATGAGCAGGCATTGTGCTCAGGGCTGGGTACAGGTATGGCCCCCGGACTCACTGAGCTCACATTCCAGTGGGGAACATACCTAACCAACAAGCACACAAGCAGGTATGCATTAGCAAACTCTCCATGAAGAGAAACAATTGGGACTTTGGAGATGAATGAGTTATTCAAGCACATCAGTCCCAGAAGGCCTCCAGGAGAGGTGATATGGAAGGCCAGGCCTGAGGAGCTGAAGTAGGTCATGCCAAGGGAAGGGAGGAACATTCTGGGAACCTCATGAGAGAAGTTCTAAAGATGGGAATGCTGGGGATATGAGACTAGGCCTGTGTAGCATAAGCACTGAGCAGGTTTGGGGCCGGCAAGAAACAAGGGCAGAAGTCAGGCTAGGATTGAGAAAGAGAGCTGATTTTGTCATTAGAATAACAGGGTGTGGGGTGGGGGTGGCATCTAGGTTTCAGGCTGGGTTGATATGTGCTCTGCACACACCACACGGCTGCTGAGAACTGACTGGTACAGACAGAACAAAGCAGAGAAACTGGGGCAATAATCTAGGGGAGAGGGGGCATTGCCAGACCTGGAGCTATGGGTCAGAGATTCTAGAAACATCCAGGAAGTAGAAGTGGAAGTTTGTTGGTCGAGGTTTCCAGAACTAAACATCTTTATTGCTTCTCTGCAACTCCCTGCAGTGGAATGAGAGCGCTGGGGCCACCAGAAAGGCTCGGGACTAGAAACAGGAGATTTGAGCACTCAGCTGGGTGTTGAGGAGTGGGGGAGAGGTCACCCGCCCAGTCTCCCGGGAAAATGTCCCAAGGCCAACCAGGATGAATGCTCAGAGGGTTCGGCCACTTCTGCCGTTATTTCCACGGCGTTACATTCCAGGTACCTGCAACATGGAAATGTGTTTCCCAGAGCACACCTGTGAGTGAACGCGGAACCTCTGGCTAGGAAGCTGCCAAACTGCATGCCCGCGGTAAGACCCTAATATCCAGGGACTTCTATCACCTCTCCGCAGCCCCAGGAACCTGCATGGCTCTTCTACCCCACCCCACCCCAGATCTCTCTCTCTCAGTGGGCTGATGATGCACTCCACAGAGATGCCAGACGGGTCCAATATGGCAGCAAGATTAAAGAACTTGCTTCTACTAAGGAGTGAAGAAGTCTTTATCTCTTCAAGGCCTATGCATAAACTCTTTCTGGGTCACTCAGATGACCTCTGCCCTCTGTCCCACTTTTCTGATATGACCTTTATGCTCCCAGGGTTTGGTAAACGCTCCTTTTGTGCCCACAGGTTCCTTACTACAGCTCTGACGACCGTGGGAAGCAAGTGTTCACCGAAGAGGACAGAAAGGCTTCCACACTTTGTCCCCGGCTAGGGCGACCCTAAATGTCAGTTCAGTCTCTCCTGATCCACTGGCCATTTATTCCCATTAGAGAGGCAAGTGGCCTGAGGCGGAGCTGGGGAGTGAGCTGGCCTCTGAGCGGAGGCAGCTGTGTGAAATGTGGGCAAGCAGGCTCTCAGGCCCTCGACCCCGCTGCATGACCTTGAAGAGCCCAGCCGCCTCTGCCTGTATTCCCCCTCCTCCAAGTTATTTTTATCCCGCCTGACAGCCCTTGGCTGTGGCAGCAGTCTGGGCTCTGGGAGCCGGATGCAAACCAGGCGGCTCAGATGTCTGGTGCCGAATCCCAAGAGAATGCTTCTTAGAGTGCCACCATCAGGACCACAGTCGTCCGCACCCTGTGGGAAGGGTCACAGTCCCAGAGGACGGTACCCAAGAGAAAAGGAGAGAGCGGTGCTCTCCTGTTCTCTCTCAGCCCCGGTTCCTGTCTGAAGCACTGTGGAGACCTGGTGGTAGGGACATCCCGCCAGAGCTCCGCTGCTGTGGGGAATCCTCCTGGCCTGGCTGGTCAAGCCTTAGTGGGTAGTCAGTCACGCGAGCGTCTGAAGTTGGGACGATGGTAGCTGCAGGCCTTAACTGATTGGAGAACAGATTTGTCCTGTGCTTCCCTGTTCTGGGAGGGGCCACAGAGACGACTCAACAGCCACTGCTTCAATTCTGTCTTCAGGAAGTGAAGCAGACGGCACATTCCATCCTGTTGGCCTGGGGGTGGCTGAATCCCACCAGTCCTCAGGACTGCGAGTCCCACCTCATCATGGGAGCAGCCTTTAGGTTAAAGCTTCAACTCCAGACTCAAAGGCCATGAGTCTTGGGTCCACAGTACCTCAGGGGTCTCAGGCACCATGTAGTTCATCTGTGCCTGTGGGAAATGAGACTAAGGTTCTGAGCTCTGAAAAGGTGACGGGAGCCAGGCGGGCAACAGGATGGGTCGTGAGTAGGGGCCTGGGAGGGCTCTGATGGGGGAGGAAAGAGGCCTTTGTATTGAAGCTGGTCTAGAAAAGGTGGCGCCATTTTCAGAGCTCCTGGGGGAGAATAGCAACGCTCTCCATTTCTAGGGGATGGGTGTAGGGGGTCAGCTCAGAAAGCCCCAATTTCAGTGATTTCAGAGACCCAGGAGTGGCAGAGCACCGCTGCTGGTGGCCTCCCAGTTGGCCCCAAAGGGGATGGACTGTCATCAGACTTCCCAGCTCCAAGGGCTGTCGGGGAAGACGATGGCAGGACAGAGAGCACATGGTTGCTTCTGGCAACCCTGCTACCAGGGGCTGTGGGGAGAGGGGCAGCTGGCCTTTCAGGAGGATGGGCTCTCTGGGTGGAAGTTGCCCCTCGACTAGGCAACAGATTCCTCCGGGCTGGCAGGATGGTACCAGCCACTCTGTGTACTGGTGTGGACCGGAGGGCAGAGATGGGGTAAGTGGGAGAGGAGACGTTGGGGAGGACAGGGCCAGGCACTCTTCCCAGAATGGCGAGCTGGCTGCTCAGGGAAGGCCAGCCTGGACAGCTATGGAGGAAGGACCAGGGCCACACAGGGAAGGCCAGGGCCCCAGTGGGTGTGGGGGAAGGCTCCATCTCAGCTGCATAGCTGTTGAGGTGGGAGAGAAGGCGAATCCGGACAGGGTCTGCATGGCTGCTGGGTCCTTCCAGGACCCCCAGGTACCTGATGACCTCGGTGAGACATTCCCGAAAACCAATGCTCCGGAAGTCAACAGCCAGGGCTCGGGCATCGAAGAACCCTGTAAGTAAAGTACCATGAGGGCATGCCAGGGAGAGAAGCACAGGGCCTGGGGGAAGATACCCTGTGTGACTGCCCCACCTACGTAGTCTATAATGACCCCGTTCCCTGGGACATATCTCTTCACCTCTCTGAGTCCCAGTTTCCCATTATAAAGCACAAGAAACCACGCTGTGACACAAAATGTATTTTCCTCACACTTGTGATTAACATGAATGCGAAGAAAATCTTGTGGCCCACGTAATTTCTCTAAGCAGACGCCTGTGAGAAGACAGCACCTATAGAAGGTGCAGACTAACTCTGAAGAGAGGCAGGTTTGGGGGGAGGAGGGAATGGCAGCAGCTATCAGAGGAGAAGGCCTCTTGGAGAAGGCACAACTGTGCAGTGGTGAAGCCTTTAGGAGCCACCAGAGCTGGGTTTGGATCGTGGATCTGCCACTCAAACTGGCCACGGATGAGCATCCCTAAGCCTCATTTTCCTTAGCTTGAAAATGGGGAGGCAATGGAAGTCATGCTTGTTGCTGTAGTATTCGCTGCTGCTGTGAGTAGAGAGGGTGAAACGAAACGGTACTCGGACCCGCTCCATAAATGGAAACACAGCGATCACTTTCGCCACTGGCCCAGCTGCTGCTGCATCTGGGTTCATCCTCCAGCTCAGAACGCAGTTGGAATGTCCTGACCCCATGCGGCTGCCATCAGGCAAGGGCTCTCTCTTGACCTGATGTCACTGATGGGCAGCCCAGGTGGACAGTCCACACAGGCATCCACACCTCTACTGCCTCTACATACCTGCCCTTCTCTCAGCCACCTCTGGACAGAGAAGGAGCAGCAGGACTGACTCCTGACTAGTTCATGGCTGGGGACCCTTGGAGGGACAGGACAGCTCAGCAGGAGACTGCCGAGTCTGGGCAGTTTGGGGTGAGACTTGGCTATGCCGTGTGATGATGCACCTCTGTGTTTGCTGTGCTCTTCATCTTACACACACACACACACACACACACACACACACGAGTTTCTTTCTTTGTTTTTTAAGACAGGGTTTCTCTGTGTAGCCCTGGCTGTCTTGGAACTCACTCTGTAGAGCAGGCTGGCCTAAAACTCAGAGTGCTGGAATTAAAGGCATGCACCACCGCTGGCCCGCTTAAACATTTATTTCTTTTTTTTTTGGGGGGGGGCAGGGTTTCTCCGTGGTTTTGGAGCCTGTTCTGGAACTAGCTCTTGTAGACCAGGCTGGTCTCGAACTCACAGAGATCCACCTGCCTCTGCCTCCCAAGTGCTGGGATTAAAGGCGTGCGCCACCACCGCCCGGCAAACATTTATTTCTTTATGTAATTTGAGACTTGGTCAAATGTAGTTCAAGCTGAGTTTCAACTCACTATGTAGTTGAACTTTGACCTTCTGATCTTCTTGTCTCCACACTCTTAAGTACTGGGACCACAGGCCTGGGTCACCATGCCTGGTTAATACAGTGCTAGGGATTGAAGCCAAGGCTTTGCGGATAGCAAGCAAGCATCTGCCAACTGAGCTACATCCTCAGCCTCTCCTAATTAATTAGTTAGTTAATTTTTAGATAGCCATTCTCATAGTCCAGACTGGCCTGGAACTCACTGTGTTGCCTACAATGATCTGGAACACCCGATCCTCCGGCCCCAACTTCCCAGAGAGCTGTGGTTACGCGTGCACACCACCATGCCTGGCTAGGCTGTTCTTTTAAACAAGCGTCTGCTGAGTTCACACTCACTGCACATTTCACCCCAGGGTCTAATTCAATCCTGAACACGCTTGTACTTTACCCACCTTACAGCTGAAGAAACCCAGGGGCGGAGAGGATAAAACCATTTGTCTTAAGCCACAGAGTTAAGAAGCAGCAGAGCCAGAATTCAAATCAAAAGCCCGCACTCCCAACCACAATTCTCTGACCTCGCCATTAGCCTGAGCCAGAGTGGCGAGGACAGCTGCCCCCGGCCCCCTCCTTTCTGGATCTTGTGAGATAAGTGAAAACATTTGAAAGCGCTGCCCACATGCTAATCACCGCTTCCCTTTTAATAGGATAACCAGGAATATAATTTGAGGCATCTCCCTGCTGGGTGCCACTGCTAGGAGTGTGTTCCTCTGGCATACTTCTCAAGTTATTGGGTAGGTCTGAAAAACTTGTGAATTCCTACAGTCTAATGCCTCCTTCGGGGAGACCTTGCGGTGCTGCCTGTCCCCAGGTGCCGCTGCCAAGCAGCACGGATTCCGATCACTTAAAATGCTACTCTTCTCCCCCAGAGTTGAAAGCTGTTCTTGAGCCTTACATCTTTGTAGCTAAGGTCTGTGGAGCCTGAAGGCTTCCTGATCGTGAAATCACCAAACACATCTAGAAACTTCGAGACAAGATTTCCGTTCACCCGGGAGTCCTTCTAAAGGTCATAGCTGCTCCACGGATTTAAGGGAAGGCACTAAGGAAATGATGGGATGGCTTGCCTCCTCCTGTGCTCTGACACCTGCTATGAGAACAACTGGCTCCTCAGTGCTGCCAAAGATACAACAGCAGTCCAGAAGCTGAGGCCGACGCCCAGAGACATCAGCAAGATGTCTGTGGCTAAACTCTCAGGTTAGTTGAAGATGGGGATTCTGGTGAAAATTTGCTTATCCAAGCTGTCTACCTGTTAACCAGGTCTTGCTGGTGGGGCTTCTGGAAGCCTGTTGCACAGAACAATCCTGATTGGGAGGAGTCAACTGAAGAAAGGGTTAGGCCAAGTGGAGATGCGGGAAGCAGTGATGCGGACAATGAAGGAAGGGAAACAATTCGTTGTAGCTGCTCTCATCTCAGAGCTCTAGAGGCTGAGGTAGGAGGATCTGTGAATCTGAGTGTGGGCTCCAGAGCAAAACCCTTTGCTCAAAGCAAACACCAAGGAAGAACATAAGAAGAGAGAGGAGCTTGGCAAATGGCGGCTGGAATCTAAGTCGGTCCTTCCACAGAAGGGCAATGACAACCTACTTTGTCTACTAGTCTGAGCTCACCCGTTGATCCTTACGGCCCTATGGCAAAGTACACGTAGTATGAGTAAGACTGTACCTGTGCCACCGGAGGCGTGGAGCATCTTCAAGTGATCCACCGTCATCTGCAAGACCTCGGCCTTCTCCAGCTTGGAGGAGCCCTGTGGGTACCGAAGGCAGAGGGTGCAGCCTGCAGGTGACTGCTGTGGCTCACTGCCCTCCTGTCCCCATCCACACTCACCGCTAGGATTTCCTCCCACGCCCTGACCACTCGGGCTGCTCCTCTGTCCAAGCTCTCCAAGTCTGAAAGGGTGCTCGCCAGCTCCCTTCTCAGTCCGCCTGTTCGCATCATTGCGGGGCTTCCTAAAATCCCTCCCTGACTCGACTGCCTTGATGGAGACCTCTTTAGTCTCCTTCCACCTTGCCTTTTGGGCGCCCCTCTGCTGAAATGCTCTCAGTGAGTGTCAGCCCACCTCTCTCCCAGAAAGACTCATCTGTCTCCACGGCCTCCTCTCCCTCACTGGACTCCAGCTGTTATCCACCATCACCTGCCCCACAGACCTGCTATCCTGGGAACCCACCTCCGACCTCAGTTTCCCCAGGTCCCAGCACAGCATCTGAAGCACTTGCCCTTCCTCCGTTCTCTCTTGGGGATGTTTCCTAAGCCTCCAGGGAACCTTGGCCCCCGTGGGAAACCTGAGGGTCAGACTCTCCATGCCAGTCCCTTAAAGACAGACACCAAGTCTAGTTCATTGCTGGCTCTGAGAAGGCTTTAATGAGCATCTGTGGAATGGCCGACTTGGACTTCCTGGCCTAAGGGAAGGCAGATGCCGTGTGACCTGAGCCTTGAGCACAGGGTAAGGATCTTTGGGGCGATCTGATACAACCATTTGTCTCTCTCCACCTTATGCCCCGCACCATGTTCAACAACAGCTGCTTACTCCCTGAGTGGCCTGTTTTACTATCAAAGAGCTCTAGAAAGGTCTGGAGACACGTGATACAGCTCCGTGCTGTTTCTGCTCAGCTATGTACTAGCCGTGTAATAGTAGATAGATATTACATGACAGCTCTGCCCTTCACTTCCTTAGGTGCGATGTGCAGTGATCCCTGCCTCTCAGGATCACTTTTAGGATTTAACCCAAAGGAACACATCAGGTATAAAGCCACCATACCCAAGACACCTTGCTAAGAATAATCATCTATTCCCCTTGTCCCCTGGCCAGTGACAACTATGCATACATGTGTGTATACACATGTGTGTGGCACATGCACATCTTGTGTATGTGGGCGTACACATATGGAGGCCAGGGGATAATATAGAGTATCATCCTTTTATTGCCCTCCATCTTATTTTTTCTTAGATTTTTATTGTTTCTATGTAGTGCGTGTATCTGTGTGAATGTATGCTCATGTGTGTACAGGTGCCTGCAAAGGCCAGAAGACACCATCAGATCTCCCGGAGTTGGGGTTGTATGCAGTTGTGAGCTGCTGGCTGGGAATTAACTCTAGTCCTCTGGAAAGCAGCACATGCTTTTAATTGCTGGATTGCTTCTCTAGCCCTACATATTAAGAATTAATTGTGTGTGTGGGCATGTGCGCGCGCGCACGTGTGTGTGTGTGTGTGTGTGTGTGTGTGTGTGTGTAGCTCAGAGGTCAGCTTGCTAGAGCCATCTCTCTCCTCCCACAACGGGAGACCTAGACTGAACCCAAGTCCTCACTGTCCTGGTTCCTAGAATCTGCCTGTCTCTGCCTCCCAGTGCTGGAGCTACAGGTGTGCACAGCCATGTTCGACTTGGCTGCTGTGGATATGAACTCAGATCTTCAACAAGTGCCCAGACCCCAGGGACAGCTATTTATAAATGATCACAGCTCTGTGTAAGCGATACCACAGGAACCGCACCCTGCCTCCTACCCAATCAGCAATGTCACATACCTGTTTCTCAAAGGCCGTGGGCACCAAGCGTCGCAATTCGGAAAGGCTGCTGTTGATGCGGTCTCGGCGCCGTTTCTCTATGATCTGAAAACCAGTGACATGAAGTTCCCTGAAGGCATTTCATCACACTCTCCAGTGTGCCCTGCGGACACTGACTCACATTTTCCCCAGAGATATTTTTTTCCTGGGGGATAAATCTATTCCTTATTTATGGAGGATGAGAACGAGAGTTCAGGATGACAATAATTTGCTTAATGTCACACAGTAAAAGTGCAGAGCTGGCACTAGCACTGAGGCCTCTTGTCCTGGTCTGTAGGGACGGCATTCCCCATAGGTAAAGCAGGGCACTGCCTAGCAGCATGGGGGCACCAGCCTCAGCACCGGTGTAGACCTGGGAGACCCCGCCGGGCCAGAGTTAGCCCTCCAGTTTCTGGATCATGAGAACCCCTGAAGAATGCTGGGTCTTGTTCTCCCCAACTGCAGAGGCCTTCATTCACACTCTCTCTGTTTTCCCCACAATTCTGGCAACAGAAACCTCATAGATGGGTAGAAATTATAATCCATCACTTCTTAGAGGCAGAATACGAGGTAGGGAAAAACAATTTGCCTAAGTCTTCTGGTGAGTAAGTGAATGGCTGGCTCCTGCCAGATCCCAGGCCTCTGGATCCCCAGGACAAGGAGGGGGGGGGTACGATAGAGAGCTGCTAGCAGGGGGCTCCCCTCTGCACCTCCCTGATCCACACAGAGGACGAAGTTCTGGGTAGAGGGGAGACTACAACCAGAGTATTAATGGTCCGTTGTCAGGTGCTCAGCAGAGTGTACAGGAATGCACTCATTCTTCACAACTGCCCTTGGTGGGCTAGGGATTTACTCAGTTGGTAGCGTGCTTGCCTTTAGCATGTATGAGGCCTGAACTAAATCCTCAGGACTGCAAAAACCAGGTAGCACATGCCTGCAATCCCAGCGTTTGGGAGGTTGAGGCAGGGGTTAAAGGGCATTATTTTTATTATTATTTTTGGTTTTTCAAGACAGGGTTTCTCTGTAGCTTTGGAGCCTGTTCTGGAACTCCCTCTGTAGACCAGGCTGACCTCGACCTCACAGAGATCCTCCTGTCTCTGCCTCCCGAGTGCTGGGATTAAAGGTGTGTGCCACCACCACCTGGGTACAAGTCAGTCTTTTGAGGTAGGTGCTCCCTGTCACTCAGAAGAAGCAGCAAGACATTGGAGGGGCGGTGGCATACCCAGCCACCAGGATTGCAATGGGCAGAGCTTGGGTTTGAACCTGTCCAGTCAGCTGGGATGATGGGCAAGGCCTCCTGGAATTCAGTGAAAACCCCGCTTGCGCTCCTCAAAGCCTGTTGCTCACTCACCCCTCTGCGCTTCTTCCGGGCTTGCATCTGCGAAGGGCTGGGGGTGGTCAGCGGTCTGGCCATCTGGCTGCAGAGAAAGAGAAAGGCTAGTTTCTCAGAGCTGAGGGACCATCTCCCTGGCCTAGGCTGACCTAGAAGGCCCAGCTGGAAGCAGGCCAGGACCTGAATGCGTGGTGGGTGGAGTAGGGCTCCCAGGTGGTTCTAGTCTCCCAGACCAGGAAGGGACACAGAGCATGCGAAGGGGTCGCCTGCTCTCATTTCTCCCCGGAACCCATTTGTCTGGTGCCAAATCCTCTGTGCTCGCCTAGCTTCCTGTCTGTCAGCCTCTGGCGGACGTGGGTAGCTCGCCTACCCCCTGCCCGCCCTTGCGGACGGCCGACCGTCGGGGAACCGCGAACCGAGATGCTCTTTCCCGGGTCCTGCAACCCGATCCCAGGGGCGGGTTGACTGAGGGCGCGGGCCAGCGGTCGCCGGGCCGGCCCGGGAGGGTTGGATTTCAGAGCTAGCCGCTGGGAAGGAGCGTGGAAAGCGCAGATGCCGCTGCTTCCCACGGGCCGGAGCGCCGCCGCCCGCCCTCCGCCCGGCCCGCAGCTGCCGCCTCCTCCCACGCGGCGCGGCCGGGGGCGAGGTGGAGGCGGCATCTGGGTCACAGGCTCCTCTCGCACGCTTGGGGACAGTGGTCTGGCCTCCCAGGAGGCACGAGGCCTCCTATGCCTGTGGCTCCCTATTGAAGCCCAGGATGAATGATGGATGTTTGCTCCAACACCGATAGTTGTATTACAAAGATTCAGCAGAGGGGTTTCCTGTCCAGATTTTTGGCTAGAGACCCCAATTGCTTCCCCTCCAAATGGCTTTTTGCTCCAGCTGTCCTCGCAGAAGGCAGAGGTTCCCTGGAGAGCACCAAGGACCCAACCCTATTGATGCTACGCTTCACACCTTTGAGCAAGGTGCCTCCCCTGCTGTTTTGGAACCCCAACAAACATCTCAACAGAAGCTCATGAGCTTGCCCGGCACTTGTTTCTTGTCTACCTAGGATTTCCATCTCAGTAAGGGTCGCCCCCAGCTTCTAGTTCTCTGGCGCTTTCTGTGATTGAGCCTTTTCTAGTTTCGTGTGTGTGTTCTTGTTCTCCATGGCCCTCTGTCTCTCACCCACAGGCTTACAAGAAGAGCCTTCCCTTGGTCCCAGTGCACTTGTTTTTCCTGCCACTACCAGCAGAGCGAGCATTTAAATGCACACTTGATCTTAACCTTCTTAAATCACCCCCCCCCCGTGGCTTCTCAATGTTTTTAAGACCCCAAAACATCATCCTTTGGTTGGTCCAACTGGTTCCTGTCACCTCTTCGATTCAGATGTCTCTTGCTCTGCACGCTCCAATCTGAATACACTAATTCTCCTACGTTCGCGTGTGTGTTCTGTAGTCTAGAAATCTTTGGTCCAATCCATCTCCTCCGCGCCCCACCACAGCCTGACGACGTCAGCCATCCTTCAGATTGCCACTCAACTGCCACCTCCTTTAGGAGCCCCCCTTTTGAACTGCTAGTCTGTCACATGGTCCCTGCTGTTTACTTTCCCAGACTCCTGTGTCCACACACTGTCTTACTGTTTTATCCATGCACGATTATTTAATTAAAGTCCATCTCTCCAGCAGAGAGGTCCATGAGGTTACGAGGCTCATCCATTTCACTCACTGTTACAGCTCAGGTCCTCAACAAGCTTGGGACACAGCAGATCTCATAGGATTTCTTAACTCCCGTTCTTATCTTTAGCGTCACAGAGACCATAAATATGAACACCATAGAAATCTGCCTTTTGCACTTTTGTGGACGGGGCATAGGCAGTTCACCAGGAGGGTCTCAGCCCGTGTGACTCTCCTGGTGGCATCTGAAGTTCGGTCATTCTCAATGCCTCACAGAAAAGCAGCTTCAGGAGAGACCAGATAGCACATTGCTTCAGGCTTGTTCCAACCACATCTGGAAAAAGACGTATCTTTCATCCGCACATCTGGACAAACCGAGCCACTAAGAGGCCTGCGAAAGCTCCTGGGAGGCCGGCCCTGTGAGCCAGGGCCTGAGATCTGTAGGGCAGTTTGTTTACAAAGCTTCCCTGGTTCACTGGGGACAAGCTCTAAGAGCCAAGGTACATAAGAAATACAGCCTTTGTTTCCCTGGCAGGATAAAGCATCTCTCTGGGTATTGGGTTAGCCTTGTGCACGTCACTGCCTCACAGACTGATCCCTCCTCAGGGACCGTCTGTCAGAGGTTGACAGGCAACACCCAGCTTCAGGGCTAAGGGCACCATCCACCTTTCCCCAGCCTCCTGGTCAAGTCCCCTCTGTTAGCTGGTCTGCCTCTTCCTCCAGATTCCCCAGGCAAATCTCACCATACAGTTTGCTTGGCACCACCACCAAGAATATCTCTTCTCTGGGTTTTATAAAAGTCCATTTTCCAGATGAGGATGCTGAGCCTCAGGGAGCCCAAGTGGCTTGGCCAGCCCACACAGCTGCTAAAGGAGCAAAGCAGCCTGGGAACCTATCTGCTGGCTTCCAATTCAGCATTGTTTTCCTTCTTAAGTCTGATTTCCTGTCTGTCTGACTAGTCCTCCAATCCCCTTATCCTCAAGGCTCCCAGCCAGAGCTCACCACAGCCTGGGATCTGGCCCTGACGGTGGGAGGAGGGCTGGGAGCCTCTCCTCTGAGAGTCTAGGCAGATCTTCATGGATCCAGAGAGGAGATGGTGAACGCCAGTGTTTCCATGGGCTTCCTGCAGCCCCTAGACAGGATCCTAGGGCAGTCTCTTCAGGTGATGTCGTTTTCTAAGTGGTCTTCCTGCCAGTCCTGAACACCCCCAGTCCCAACTCCACCTAGGAACTCGCCTGTGTGGGACCTTTGGAGATGACTTCATTCATTTTGTATCAAGCAAAGGCAGTGTTCCAATCAATGCTGGACAAAGGATGGACAGTCGCACAGAACTTAGACCGCTTGTAAAAATGACAACACTCAGAGAGGGAAAGGACCTTTGACCAGCCACACTGCAAGTAAGAGGAAAATCCAGGGTCCCAGTTACATCCACTGCCTTTTAAAAAGAAATATATGTATGGATATTTTCTATGTATAGATAGATAGATAGATAGATAGATAGATAGAGTGGGTGTTTTGCTTGCGTGTATGTCTGTGTAAAAATGCACAGATCCCTAGGAACTTGGATTATGATGCCCAAACCTGGAAGAGCAGCCTATGTTCTTCACCCACTGAGCCATCTCTCCAGCCCCAGATCGACCGGCTTTTAATTCAGAACTCTTGCCAATGCCTTCCAAACATGCACCCTCCCACCATGTCTCCCTTGCAGCCTGCACTTTCTGCTCTGGACAGCAGAACGTAGCCATTTGTCTCATACATTGCATAATAGACCTTAGGAAAAAAACAACAGTTTTAGGGGGAGGGGTGCGACAGACACGGAGTTGAGAAGGCCCCACAATGCAATCTCTAGATTGCTAGTTTTCCTACTAAACTTTGCTGCCTTGTCAATGTGGCACCCTCCTCACAATGTGAAAACATTCATTGGAAATTACGCATGCCAAAGCAAGAAGCTATGTGCCATATGCAGATACAACCCCATCCAAGGCTAACCCTCAGAGGCAGATAGTTATACACTCATTTTGTTAAAAAAGCAAAAAAAAAAAAACAAAGAAAAAGAAAACGTCAGTAGTTCAGGAAAGAGTAAAGTCACTTACACAAGGAAATGGTGGAGAGGGTCAAAGTCAGGTCTCTTTGACTTCAAAGACTACCATGTGCCTTAAATCATACAGGAACAGCCCATAGACCCTGACTTCGAGTCTGACATATGGGAGGCACTCAGGAAATATTTGAAGATGGGTAAGAGAGAGGCCGTATTCTGTGTGGATCCAGACTGTTTCAGGGGGCCAACTTCACACAAGAGCTCTGTGGGTGATTCCCACGGATGGAGCAGGTCGCTCCCACCAGACAGATGTCCTTGGTGACATCAGAACACACCCTGCCCCTGCGGTCTCACGGCTCTGAATGTGGAGGATTTGTGCACTGCCTCTGACCCCCAGAGTCTGGCTGCCCCAGCCCTGTGGCCCCTGCCACTGTTTATCTGGCTTTCTTTGTACATGAAGCTCTTCTTCCCTGAGAGTTCCCCGAGGGCAGAGGCTGAGCAGGATACATCTGGGCTCTGATGCCCAGCCCAGGGTCTAGGCCACAGCAGGCATCGTTCAGTGGTCTCTGAATTGAAGCATTTATGTCTGCTGGGGGGAGGGCCCTTTGGAAAGTGCTACAAAGAGGCATGTTATAAGTCAGTCTACCAGATGTCCAGCTGCCTTCCCTCCTTGGAGGGGTCTGGTCTTCTGGAACAGTCTCTGAAAATGAGCTCTGGCTAAAATGACACAAAGATATAAAGGGGAAAGAACCTGCAGTGACCTTTTACACCTCAGCCACAGTGCCACCGTCGTCAGGAAGCCATTATCATCGTCCCTGGCTGTGAGTGGCCTCTCCCCACTTGGGGGTCCTCAAAGCTGACACTCATTTTCCACCCAATCCAGAATCTCTGTAGCCCTCGGCAGTACTGCCCAGGCTGTACACTCATGAAGGAGAGAGGCCGGCTATGATTCATCTCAGCTCTCTGGCATCAACTCTGTTCGCTGCTCCTTGAAGACCCAACGGCCCTGAGTTTGAGCTGTTCTGTTCTCCATCACTATGGGATCCTGGTTCCCCCCCCCCTATTATAGCAGGCTCCGGCCTTGAGAATTACTGCTATAAATAGTCATTTCTGCTACGAAATTTTAAAGGGTTTACATAAGGAATTATATTATAAATCCCCTAACATGCGAGATGAGAGAGAGAGAGAGAGAGAGATCTATTGCCATTGTTTTTTGTTTTTTGGGTTTTTTTTTTTTTGAGATAGCATCTTACTATCTTGAAAAGTAGCCATAGAAATCTGCCTGTCTCTGCCCCCTAAGTGCTAGAATTAAAGGCATGTGTCTTCATGCCTGGTCATAGCCTCTTTAAAAAAAAAAAAAAAGCTATGTGTGTGTTTCGTGTGCC